AGACAGGTACTCTCCTCAAGACAGTCTCAACCGCCTGAGCAGTTAACCAGCTCGTTGGCTCCTCAATTTTAATGTGGACAAATGCGTGGCCCTGAGACTCCGCGCCAGAAGGACCAGTAAGGAGGGCGATTCCTTTTAATAAGTATTCGGTGGGCGGCCCCTTTTAAGTGTTATGGAAGAGAAAGACCTCCTCGTTGCGACCATCATCACAGTGTCAAAGGGCAGCCAAAAGTGCGATAAGGGTGTTATTTGCACTGAGGCGAGGATTTGTGCAGATCGATAAAGAGCTGTTCGGAAAAACCTATGGGACATTCGTCCGGTCTCACTTAGAGTATGCAGTCCAGGCCTGGGGACCGTGGTTGAAGAAAGATTATCAAGGACTGGAAAGGGTACAGGCGATGGCTACGAAGATGGTCAAGAATCTTCATCATCTGCCTTACGAAACCATGCTGGCGGAACTAAATTTGTTTCCCCGAAATTACAGGCAGCTGCGCGACGATCTCATTCAAACCTACAGGATTGTCGGAGGCCGTGAATGCGCCCTAGACTTTTACGAATTCTTCGAATTGGCCGGGACTGACCGCCCGCATGACCATTCCTTCAAACTGCAGAGGATGCTAGCTCATACGGACGTCCGACGGAACGCCTTCTCGCAAAGGGTAACTGGGTCATGGAACGGACTCTCTGATGCGGTAGTTATTTCCGAAACTGTTGAGTCCTTTAAGTGTAGACTAGATGGTTGCTGAGAAACTACTGTACATATAATCAGGATTGTTTTAGCGGCGACAGTTTGCGCCTGGCTCGCATTTACCTTTGGCTTTTGGATTTCCACATTTACTGATGTAACAGTTGATTCTATTTCTGTTTATCGACATGAGTAGGGAGCTCAAGGGCGAAAGCCTCATTACCTTAATAAACTGACTTGAAACTGACTGTGTGTTCATTTTCCGTCGAAAACTTAAATGTTTTCGTTGAAAAATTTGCTCCGGTCCAATGTGTCCGTAAAAATCCACTTTATTTTCAATGGGGGAGTTCATGTGTTTCACTTCCACCAAGCCTTCTGGGCCCATGAGCTTTTACAATAAGTTGCTATAAGGATGCTCCATCATAAGTAACTTAGACCCAAATTATACCAATGTGCTATTATTATCCCCTCCTGTGAATCGAATTTTTCCAAAGGCTGCACAGATAGCTGATTTCACATCACGTAATTGTCCTTCCGGAATTAAAGTTAAAAGTTTACCCCATGTTCGTACTTCCCACCTACGAATACCACCGAGTACCTGACCAGTGAGCTTCGTGGTCTCTAACGCCGTTTCCTCGATTATTTTTCAAGCAACTTGTTAACTATCACGGTGGACCTCTGTCTCGACAACTTATGGTCGTTTTGCAGCCAGCTGAAAAGTACTGTGATCGAATCTACCGCGCTTTGAGGATGCAAGTGGCTTCATACGGTTGTCTCATTCTTCTTTGACCTGGATCGTCTGGAATCCTCATAAATTACACTGAACGCGACAGCCCGGGTCCAAAAATATGTTCTCCCATGAGCGTTAGCTTCTCTTATTTTCTAAAAACTCAGTGATAGCGCTCATTTTGTACTTTTTGACGAAAAAGCAAAGAGTATTTTTCATCGCTTGATCATCCTCCTCTCTCACTGACTCCTTTCTACAGTGGCGACCCCAACAGGCCGGGGTCGAATCCATCAGTCGTTATTACTACAAAATGTTGGTTACGGTTGACGTTTACTTATCCGCTCCGATATTTGTTGGTGAATGTTTTTCTAAAATTTCCGCCAGTGGTACTCGCAGGGGGGTTCAAGGAAACAATCATTATTAACGTTGACCAACTTTACGATGAGTTTTTGTTCATGGCTGAACGGCTTTGTCATATGCGGCAGTTCAAAAGTGCGGCAACGTTAGGGGCAACACATGCAGGATAACGCTGCGCACTACGGATACTTCTTGGCTTAGAACGAGCTGAACAGGGTTGTCCAGCACATCACCATTCCCATCCAAACATGAAGGAAGAATAGTTAAACGGATGCAAATTATAGACTAGGAAGAAGGAGGTTAGTACATCGGGACACAAGAAATTATGCAAGGGAACATGGGGGTTGCACCAAAAAGTGACGCCAGCATGCCTGCCAAACAGCCGGTGATAAAACAATGTTGTGGGCAGATGTATGGAGGAGTCATCGAAGATGTCGACCTAGAGAGTGGGTGGAGTGAGCATTATAGCGACCGTCACGGGACGGGAGTCGGCCTACATGCGGGAAAAGAGCACTGGTTAGTTTCATCAACAAATGGTCACACAATCTCTGTTGGGACTGCCATGAACGGAACACAACATTTTTGTAGTCCGGTTTTCATGAGCGGTAGGAAGCCGCTAATCCGCAGGGAAGTGTGCGAGAGAGCAAAAATCCCAGTGACAACGAACCATGTTGCCGAATAATCGTCATGCTAACATCCAACACGGATGATGAAATTGCGGCAGTCAACCACTTGGACGCGGACTGAAGAATCGCCGCCTTATCAATTACGACCCCTAGTGATAGTCGTGAGAACTGTTGATCATGGTACACCTGTGGTCCCATGACAGCCACGTACTATAAATACAACATTTTTCGTGCCTCCACTATCCTTTTTCGCATTAACTATAACTCCAATCTTCGCGCATTGACACTCCCACTCAGAAAGATGGGTCTTATGCCACGCGAAACTCCTCCGTGAGGATTCCGCCGCCTCTTTACATTAAATTTAAACGCTCCCTCTTTTCTGCATCCAAATTTCCCTTCCTCTGAAATAATCTTCTACCAGAACATAGACCATCGCCTTAGTTATCGACATTTAAACAGAAATTGCATAGACACCTGACACCGGAAAAGATAAAGTCACCATTGGCCGGCTCATTCACGAACACTCAAATTTTCGACTTGAGAACAGTTCTCCTGGGATTTAATGGTAGATTAAGTGGAAACTCTTACTTATATTTTTACAATCCACCGTTTTTAATTGGCTACTAAATCTACTGTTATTACTCCTCCCCCGCGGCGATGATTTTTCTGGTTTTTGTTGTCATTTCCTTTCGACTTCAAGCGGTCTGTCGACGCTCACGGTGGAATCTTCTGTATTCACCAGCTAATAGCAGTTTGGTCGGTCTGCAAAGAGATCCCATGGTCGTATCTCCCCTGCCCCCTCCTCGGCTGCACTCAGGGCGAACTGCGAACTATCGCGTCCGGGATGCTCTCGTCACGCCACTTTGACTCGGATAGCCTCATGTGGTGTATTAATTCTGCCTTCACGATGTCCGTAACGAATCCCTTATACAATACACATGCAGGCCAGTACCGTCTGACTCGCATACTTACTCCTTCATGAGCGACAGTTTTTGCCGCGACGATGTCCGCTTAGAATCCGTTATACAATATCACATGCAGGCCGGTCCTTCCTCACACGCTTATCCTTTTATGAGCGACATTTTTTAGGTTAATCCAATCACGACCACTTTGTTTATTAGGTAAAGGAGTTTTTCACTGCCCACTAATCATTTTTCTGACCAAACTGCTAATTCAAATACGCATGAAGTGAATACTCTGGAGATCCTGCCTAACTGTTCTACAATTCGTATGAAAATTTATTTTTACTTGCTATGATGTGACCCGCAAGGTTATTCAATGAAAATTTATGTATCCGCGTCCGGAATCCAGTCCTGTCATCTCAAATTCAGTATCCGTCGAAGACGGCTGAGGTGGAAATGATTGAGTCTTCGCGCCTGTTTCTTGTTCACCGTCCAGGTCTCCGATCCGTACGACAGTGTCTGCAGGATGACCGCCTTGTATATCTTCAGTTTGTTGTTGATTGTGAGCCCATGGCGATCCCAGACTGTGCTTTGCAGACGGTCGAAGGCTTGGCTAGTTTTGGAGATCCGGTGGACCACTTCATCGTCGACCTTGGGTGGGCGGGAGAGGGTGCTGCCCAATAGGTGAAGTTTTCCACGACTTTCATATCTGCTAGACTGATGATGGGGAGTGCAGCATTTCACGAAACTGCACGGAAGGGTGGGCTAGGCGAGCTGGCGCCAAGTGTCAATGTTGGCGAACCAAATTGCCCAAGAAATCATACCGATGACGAAATCCGGCAGTCGGCAACTCGGCTGCGTGCAACGAGTATGGGAGCCGATAATCTTGACCGGCGCGAAGGCGCATTACAGCTGCATGGCAAGGGAAAACTACAATACCCGGCTATCGGAGCCGTAATGCACTCCGGATCTGCTAACTGTGACAGGCATGTTGCGGCTTTGCAACTACATCCTATAAATACTGCAAAATCTGGGCAATTTACAACCCTTACCAGACTCTACCTCTGAAGATGGATTCGAGCAAGAATCAGAAAGGTCAGGCCAATAAAGCTCGTATTCCAGCGATCATGTCTCCACCTTCTGTTTCGACTGTCGTGTATTTTAATTCGCCAACGCTCATAAAGTCCTTTAGACACTGCTTTGCTTTCCTTAACGTCCATATCGATTTTTCTATCCTGCTGTCCGTCTATATTGTTTCTCTTTCCTTCATTCAAGTTACGTCGTACTAGGACCTCTTCTTTTTTTACCACGTTGGACCCTCCCTTTTAAGGTCTCTGATCACTGTTCGAGAGCAAAATGTTAATTTAAATTCCTCATAGGCTTTCGAAAGAAGGACTACGGGATTAATCGATTCTTCAATCCGCTTTAAGGATCCAGGAAAAATAATATCTAATACCTCTTGACTTGGGCCACTGCAGCTGAAGTTTACCTTGTTTATTCTGCAGTTCGCTTGTCTTTCTTAAAGACTCATTCCCCTTCTGGGGTGGAATGTTCCAGTTTTGTCAATTTTGTCGTGTTACTTTGTCGCCCAGGTATATAAATTTTTTCGCGGCCGGATAAGCATGCCTTTTCTTAGCTGAGCCGCGCAATTTGGCGTTAAAAGGCGTGCATGGCGCCACTGTAGTCTGTTTCTGTAAGTTAGGATGAATTTGATGGAAGATAATCCTCCTGACGTTGAGGAGTCTCCTTTTTCAAAATGTTGCCTTCCTTTGCGAAGAGTACGTTTTTTCTTTACTTTTCGGCATTCTTAGCGGTTTCAATTATGTATTGATAAGTTAACCCCTTACACGAAAGTTCGATGGGCTATAACCCTCCTCTTTCTCTCTCTGTATGTGCTAAGGATTGCGTATATCCAGGTGAGAATCCGTTTGGAATTTTATTCTCTAGGGATTTCACATCATAAGCTACGCTTTAGCCATATACCTACTCAGTTTATTTATTTCTTCAATATCTCCCCGTGTTGATCCGGCGTACGCCGATTTACTGGGTAAGGAAGCCTTCTAAGTCCAATTTTGTAGACGAAGAACCTTCTCTGCCTAGAACTGAAGGCGATGAATTTAGGCCCTTTATTCCTCGACTTCTTGAAGCCAATTTTTGGTTAGTCGTCTTTTATAATATGTTTAATTGCACATATTTTATAAAATCCCTCTCCGGCAACATTGTAGTGAAAAACCGTTATTTTACTCCTCGGCGCCTGTCATTATGCCCATTATGAAGGAAAAGGTTTCAAATATGTATAGCGATGGTCGTCATGTTCCTGTCAAGTTGTCACCAGGGTTTCGTGATCCGCAGATGTTCAGACATCGGGCATAACTCCCCCATCGTCTTAAAAACGGTGTTTAAGATTTTAGTTCTACTAAATATAAATTAGGTCTTACAACATGTGAATGGCCGTCCGGTTTGTGCACTGAAGTACTTGTTTGGATCATGTTGTACGGACGTACAACATGATCCAAACAAGTTTCCCAATGTGGTGGCGAGGATCCTCGCCACCACATTGGGAAACTAATTTAAAAAGATAATCGCGATCACACCATGACACTACAATACGTGTTCTGAGCACGCTGATCTCAGTTTTTGTCCTTGACATTCCCAACTTTAGCTTTGGCGACGAATTTGCCTTCGCGTACAGACCGCAATTCATAACTCTAGGGAAAACTGCCTTCTCCAACAATTTCAGAAGCCTGTCGGCTTGCATGCGTGGTCGTTACACCTACCAGTAACTTAATGTAACTAGCCAGTCAGTGGTATACTACTGCATTCTTTCCGACGTTCTGTTTTTTTTCGCCAAGGACTATTATGATCAAACTCTCCCCAATTCTCTTCTATAAATACTTTTTATACCTGGCACCGGTAGTACTTCTTCACCCTCGACCACCAGTGACAGTGGATCTAGAGAGTTCGGTCCATTCTCATTCAGATATGGAAAGTGGATAACAAGAGTTTAGTAACCACCTCCATGTTTTGATAAGTAGTACAGAGTTAGATTTGTAGCTGACCATTTCGCTGCCTGCATTAAGGCGAGGCGTCAGATTAATCGAAACAGCCTTGTGCACACGTGGTTGACAATTCAGCAATGCTCAAACCACTTCGATCGTTCTTTGGGTAGTCCAAAATATCCTCGTAATGCAACAGTGATTGCGATTCACCTCAGTGGGACTGGAATTCCTATGCTTAACTCGTCTTCCACGCGCGTTGAGCGATATCCACGGCTGTAAGGGCGAGGGATGGTGGCCGGATAGATGCGTTGAAAAAGATTATGCTTGCACTATATCCACAGACGCTTGAAGGCCTGCAAAATTCTGTCTACACTGTTAACGCTGACAACGGTATCATCCTTGCTACTCCTGTTTTTCAACAACATGATCCTCAGATATTTGAAATTGCTCACTCCTTCATTTCGACGGCCGTTAATCAAGAGTGGTGTTTTCTGTGAGGCAAAGCGAGTAACTTGGCGACTAGTTCGCCTAGGATAACATTTTGCGAGAATCTATTGCTGAAGTCTACCACAGCGATATCGTCAGCGCCTCCAAGGTCCGCCTGTTGGTCTCCAAGCAGTATTTGGACACTTTCGGAGTTGCATAAAGCCTCTTCGGGAGCCTGTTTAATGGCTTGGAGAATGGACAATGGATGCAACTGTGTCGAACGATTGACGGGCTGTTGTAGGCAAGTACATTCGTAGTGGCTGTGTTGTAGTGCGTCTTGGCCATGGTAATGTCCCTATCGTACCGTCTAACTTCATTATTTGTCGCGGGACTTATGTTGATCAAAGCAGACTGCCGTCGCTTGTTAGTAACCGTGGTGGAATTTGCAAACTTTCACCGTAACGTTGGCATCTGATCCTACCGCTCCCGTTAAATTCGGAACCCGGTTTGTTAGGTACAGTCCTTGAACATACATTTTAAACTATGATAATGGCGAAAGAAAAGGCCCTTGCAACTGTCTCGTTGCCGTGATGGTCCTCGCACTTTGTCTTAAGAAATGCACACAGGCCTGGTCTGTCTCCAGTTGACAATTTGACTAACCCACGGCGCTGCCGACTCGCTCATGTTCGTAATTGGCGGGCGTCGACTGCTAAAGACCTTCAAGAGTTCTCTGCTAGCTCAGCTACATACTTTTAACATTAATCGTCCCCTTCACACCGGTCCGGCCAGCTGTCCTTATCGACCGTACGGAATGGTTTGGAATTTAAGATGTTTGGCAAGTAATTTGAAAATACGCTATGAATCAACAATTAAGTCCGGATCTGTCTTGCTGAGGAATATCCTCAGTTCAGTCGAATAAAGGGATCCCACCGGTTTCTGTGATATCGTCGGACTGTTCCTAACTAATCTGTTAGCGGGCCCTCATTTCTTCAATCGGTCTGCAGGTTTACTCGTGTATCGTTAATCTTTGTGGCAAACCCTAAAACTAGATGAAGTGTCGGCAGAATTTGTCGCCGAAATCAAAGTCTATCGTCGCTCCACCTCTATCCGGTTGCTTATCTCCAACCGTGCTCGCTTTTGACTTGATCGAATTTAAGCCAGCACGCTGGCTGACGGATTTTGACTACGCCGATGACATCACCCAGCTGGCATTAAAGTATGATGACCTACACTGCTGCTGGTGGGCCAGGTTTTTAGATTTGTTGATTTATCCATAAAAGCTGCAGCAAGTGTACTGTTTTCGAGGTATGTCGTTGACACCCTCGTAACCAATAGCTATCGGCATGGAGAAGTAGTGGTTTCAAAGATTTCTGAGGCAAATTGTTGCTAGACCTGCGGAGGAATGGCCACACTATCACTCGAACAGGTGTTGCCTGGGGGGTTGTTGCAAGGTTTCGAGAGCGTCTGCAGATACCCCATATTATCTTAATCTTCCATCCCGCCAGTCCTGTCGGTTTTAACCGATCAAAATTGCCTGAGAACGATCTTTTGCCAAAGACTGGTGAGCCCTACCTCATTATCATTGCGACTATATTACAGGCCAACCATTACAAAATGGCTGAAGTTGTTTGAACACTTTTGTGTGCTGTTTTAACTAGCATCACTGTCGGCTTTGCCGTTTTCCAAGTCTACAGTGCAAGCCGTTAATGTGCACGGAGATTTGCGGGAATGCGGTACAGCCGAGGTCCGCTTTCCCTCCCAGCCTGTAGGTAGGACCTCATCCGTAAGCCGACGATAGCCTGAAAGCCCTGTTGAATTGCGGGTGGCATGAACCATGTAGTACTATTTTAACTTGTGATATCTAACTAGTTTGCCGTACCAGTGCGCCACAAAATCTGACGGTCTTTCTTCTGCACGTTCCTCGATTGTCTGTTCATTAGGACTGGTAGCCTGTTTATTTTTTGACTAGCCCGTTATGAGGGCCGTTTCGTTATCTGCTGTCGGTCGGCACGCCGAGCAATCTTCAAACAGATGCCTGTTGTTTTATGACTGCCTGCATGGAACGAAGGGGGGTTCGACCTGCCCGCCATGGTCCCGCAAACCATTGAGGTAGTTCTTCCACTCGTCACATTCGGTCTTCGTCGCTGGAATAGGGAGTAGGTCGAGCCCACAAGATGCCGCATTGTCCGTTATGTCGCTGACCACATAGGGTATGCCCAAAGCCGTAGCAGCCACAAGTAGGGCATTCACACACTTTTCCAAGTGTTAAGTAATCCCCTTTGACTCAGCACAATATTTGTTTATGTCTTACACAGGAGCCGTTATCCCTAACGGAAGTGTGTTAAGTCCAAATTTACAACAAACGTTGAGACTTCGGTGTTTTTTGTATAGGTCTCCGCTCTCCTAACATGATGCTTGCGTACGATTCCCTCGCGAAACCTCACTGCATCCACGCGATTCCCAGTTGAATGTCACGCCAGTAATCTTTCCTTCATTTTGTGTGACCAGCCTGTTTACTTCCGCGGCATCGATCTGCCGGCTGTCATTGATGGGTTGCTTATGAGCCTCGGTCAGTGTGCTCAGCAACTTATAGAGGACATTATTGTCTGGAGACAAACCACCGTAGCTGTATGCATAGGGCTCAATTAAGTCTCACCCTTTCACTCAAAGTTACGATAGAGCAACCCCGGTTGTTTGCCGAGTCAAACTTCTGGGTTGTGAATACCTCCCATATGGTTGTCCACCTTGGCTTGGACTGTGCAGGCTTACAAACTAATGGCACTACTTGCTAGGGGAGCGAGGGTACGCAAAATAAGTCGGGCACATGCATTTGGTCTTTTTGCGCGATTCGCAGTACGTTTGACGGCTTTCCTGATCTTGATCGTTCACCCTCTCTTATCTTTGCCTTCTGTTTTACTCCAGGTACTGTGCAACGCGGGCTGTGATCATCAGCATCCTGTGTACATTCGTCCCATTTCTCGATATCCCCGTGTTTTGGCCAATTCTAGTCCTCTACTTCCTCATGCTCTTTACTGTCATGATGAAACGGCAAATTAAGGTGATTGAAATTGCATCAAACTTCTTTTTCTATATGTAATTTACTTTGAAGGCAAGTACAGTCGGTGTCGCACATTTGCCAGAAACACGGCTTTTCGGTTAGATTCCTCAGTCACCCGCTGATCTTTGAAGCAGGTAGACAAAACGACATTTTTGTTGAATGTCAGGTTAACTATCGCCAGGAACGAGTTAGCACTTAGTAGCGACATGCAACGCAACACAGGAGAGCCTTGCAGGCGGTCGGAATAACTGTACTTGACCCCTTCCCTCCACAGTCTTGATGAATGTAGCCTTCTAATGCTAACATGGCGGACCTTTGTTTAGTAGCACTACACGTTCGACATTTTCTGCGGTGATATCCATGCAGACACTGAAGCAGTTCTCGGTTATTTATGATCTGGTCTGTATAGTACAGTAGGTGGGCTAACTCATGAAATGTCAACCGAAATTCCGAAATGCGCCTTCTTTTCGAAAAGATTAATTAATTAGGGTTGTAAAACCAGTCAGCCTGCAACACAATTCTATAATGACTCAGTCACCTCAGGATGCCGGCTTTCGAATGAACTGCCTTCCGGCCGCATGCAACAACTGCACACTGTAAAAATGACTACTTAAGAGCCTGACTTTTTCTCATTGATTTTCGATGCCCCTAAAAGTCCAATCATATTTCATGGAAAACATGCATAAAAATATTCATCCTTATGCTCATTCGGTAGATAATTACGTCTTCTAATTTTATACTCGGAGGGACATAATTCGGTTTTCAAAAAGTTTCTAATTGTGGGACTTTTAAATACCGTGAAATGGCCGTTCATAAAACGTCATGTCTCTGCATTTACCAATGTGGCTTGTAAATTTAGCATTATGGATCAAATCCAATGCTTGATTTTATGAACCCTATATGGTCCCCTTTATTACCGTAGAGAAATGTGTGTTGTTTCCCGTACGCGGAAAATGTACGGCTTGTAGTTTGGAAACCCTGAATACAAGTGTAACGGTAGAGCGGGTTTAAAATTATTCGGGAATTGGAAAAGTTTTTGAACACCAAATTTTACCCTTCCCTCGTGTATGAAATTAGACGAAGACGTAATTATCTACCGAATGAGCAACAGAATGAATATTTTTGTGCATGTTTTCCATGATATATAATTGAACATTTAGGGGCACCGAAAACCAATGAGAAAAATGTATGCTACGTAAACAGCCATTTTTACAGCGTATAGTTTTTGCATGCAGCCGGAAGGAAGTTCATTCGAAAGCCGGTATCCTGAGGCAACTGAAATATCATGGAATTATGTTGCAGGCTGACTAGTTTTACAACCCTACTTAGTTAATTTTTTCGAAACGAAAACGCATTCGGTTGACATTTCATGAGTTTGCCCACCTACTGTAGTATACGTCAAGGTCAACCAGCAGGAAGGGGTAAGAATCAAAAAGAGGAAAAAGGTGACTCGGATCCCACCTTAGTGGGAATACCATAAGGACCGCACTAAGGAGCCATGGCAGCCCGACTATCCTTCTCTTGAGAGGACCGAGTTGTCTTGTTAGTTGACAGCCCGCCAGGCCACGAAATTTAGCGCATCTTGGTGGTTTGGAAGCTCGTCAGATTGTTTATAGTGGAGTAATGGGCTGAAGTGCCGTAGGGGACCTGCATCTAGGCGTGTCACGACCCCTCCCTCCCCATGGGTAACATTTGTTGTGGGATGTGCGCACTTTGCACAGCCAGGTTAACGCGTTCCGTGCCCTTCAGTGCACCTGTCTCGTGGCCCGTTGTGTGGACACTAATGTCAGACAGAGTGGTTGCTCCAGCACTTTACAGTGTATGTTGCCCGGTCCGCACGACAATCGACCTGGCCTCTGCTGTCCTTGGTCTCCAAGATAAATATTGTGCCCTCTCCAAGAATCCTTCAGTGCACACAGTCGTTGGGATCCCAGACCCACGCGCTGACGAGGGGGCCATATCAGTGTTTGTGGGCGGGGAGCATGACATGCGACAACATTTTGGTCAACACAACCTATTACAATGAGCGTCTTGTTGTCTTTCAGAGCGTCTTTTCATATCGGCACACCCCCTCAGTGATCAATTGTGTCCTCTTGTCTGCTGTCTCGTGAAAGCTCTTGCTCTGTGTGGATGAATTTTTGATGGCGGCGTCCTGCCGATGCTCTTCACTTGATCGTAGTTCTTTTTATTAATGTTGGCAAATAACCCCAACGCAAACTCCGGAGGCGTTTGCTATTGCCCGAACTGTCGCTCATAGGGTAGTTTGGAAACGACCGGAAGCTGTTTTCCCGGGGCGGCGAGCATCTGCTGGAATAGTTTGAGGATTAGTTGGCAGCCACCCGCATTTTGCTATACCTTCAAGAGCGGCAGGCGTAAGCGGGGGCACTCGTGACTCCGACCCAGCTGACTGCCGCGAGAGGAATTTTGACTCATTGTTGAAATTCAGTTTAGAAACACAATAAATCCGTCAGTCCTACACAGTTTAGCAAGCAAGTTGCTACACACAGTTTTGTTCCAATGGAATTATGTCTTTAATTTGACGAAAGTCCGCCATTCCATGTTGAACGAGCTAACGCGCCAGTTCGCTTAGCTGAAAACTCCCCTTTTGCTCCAAGTTTTGGACATCAGTTTGCTGGAGCTCCTTTTTCCGGTTGGTGTCGACCGAATTAGGTGCCAAGGGGATCGAAGTCGGTAAGAACCATTGCAAGTTATTGCTGGGTTATTTGTTTCTTTAACACAGGGTGATTCTCTGAGGTGACCGGCCTTCCTCGGGTTTTTTCGCAACGCTTTCGTCAGCTATCCTTTTTGTAGAGCGCACGAGGTCCTGATTTAAAAAAACACTTAGTCCACCGTCTTTCTAATGCCCCTTACTCGGTCGAAATTACTGCTCAACTACCGTTGAGCACTGTTGGTTCTGCCGCAATGCTCAATCTTTGAGGAGGTAGCTGTGGGACATGCGTGAATTTGTCTAATGCAGGACGGACTTTCTAAGCACTTATCTTAATCCCTCTTTCCGTATCCAACATGTTCCAGTAGTAAGACGAGGTCGGGACGGCTAGAGATGAGTGCTCACACAGCGGCATGGTGGCCATTTTAGCAGCTTTCGGTGAAACAGTCCAGAATGGCGGATTTACACCACCTATTCTCCCTTGTTTAGTGGCATCCCCCGTCGAGTTAAGGTAAAGTGTATTGTTGAGATTGTCCCACTCCTTTCTTTCCGAAGAGTGCTTTTCTGGAAGTTCGATGCACCAGAGGTTTCCAAGACTTTGTGAGGTGATTCGTCATCCCTGGTGACTATGACAAGACTTTCAGAGCCTGGATGTAGACCATTGGTAAATCTGAAAATTTTTCATCTAGTAACCCTGTTGGTGGCTATTCAGCCTTCAGCCTTGTCCAAAACCAGTATTTACTCGTAGGCCAAGCTTAAAGTTCCGATTCTGGTATCCGTTTGATTTCCATTATTCTGAATTCTTTCTACACCTCAGTGATCTAAGTAGGGTTTTCATCCAGTAAACCTCGATACCCCCCTTATCAATGTTGACATCTCAGTACTTTTGCACTACTCTTCCGCTTGAAGGGTTTACGAGAATTCCCTCGCCCTGCGAATAAAGACTACATTCCTGGACCTGGTAGACGTGAAGTGACCTGGTATTTCTATTCGCGCTGGATAGGGTATCACGGCCTTGAGGGTGGACATCACGTACTCCACTTTTCTCGATCCTGGTCTCTAGAAGCTGTTTAGCCTGTGTGAGGTTCGGGCTAGATCCATTGAAAAGAATCTGAGATACGTCTTGGTAGTAGGTTCTTGATCTGTTCGAGGGCATTTCAAGCAAGGCTCTGCTCCTCCACTGGGTGTTATTCAGTCGTTTTTCGGTGACTGATATGAGGAGTATCTTTGTTTTGGTGGGTTTTTGTAGATGGTCACTTAACGAAATTGAAAATGGGCTCATGAAGAGCATTGCTTGGTTTCCTGACCTGTTTCTCGTCTTCGGCATTTCCGGAGCGCTGTATATGCCACAGTAGGCTGTCTGTTGGCATAAGAGGCTCAGTTAGCTGCAGGAAGTTTTGTTTGCCTGGGATTTGATAGGGCCTTCCCGTTTAACAACTAGATGGCAATTTCCGTTCTTATAAAGCCTTGCGCCGGTTATTTTCCCGACACATTTATTTGATTTCCTTTGTTGACTACTTTTTAAACACCAGTAGGCAATACTTTGTAATAAATCCAAAATGCGAACGGCCAATTAGATGCGCCCTTGGAACTATAGAATAAAACATCTTTCTCTCCCCCTACGCAACGGTCAGGCGAAGTCAACGGCAACATCTTTTTAGTTTCCTGTGAAATCCCCTCAGTCAGCTTGTCGAGCTTATTTTGACCAATGCACCTTACGTTGGAGATGGAGTTAAGCGGGGCCTAGGCAGTTAATCCGAAGATTATTGGCCTTAAATGCTGAGCTGGAATTCAATCCGCCTATAGTCGCCATATCAAAATTTTGATGAGTTGCCCTGCTGTTCGCGCGTATTATTCTGACAGTTTTTCCATCCTATCTCTTAGCACATGATCAAGTACCGGTACATGCCCTTTACTTACGGCAAGCCGAGTCACGTATCAGGAAAGAAGACGTCCAATGTGATTGTCTCCTAACCCCACTGATCTCAGGAGGGATGAAGGAACTCGTCGCTCTGCAGGCCACTCGGCGGGAATAGTGCACTCCTCGAATCCTTCATGCTGACTCGTGCGTACTGAGGCTGTATCCTCTTCCTCATCTGCTGCGATTACTTTAGTCCTTGCGCCTGCATTGTTTTGGTCTCTACTTCCTTCCTCTTATACCACCCGCTTTCTCGTAACCCTTCTGTTTTTGGTACATCTACGGTTGTCGCCACCAGTTCCTTAGCACAATCTGCCTCTTTTACTGAAGTTCTCCGTCCGGCGTCCTCAGCCTGGCCCACACTACTTCCTCCGCCCCACAAAGGGCAAAATTACTTGGGAAAATAAATATTTCATTGCCCCCCTTCGGATTTTTCAGAGTTAATCTGAGGTTTGGCCCTCAGTTTTGATATTATTAGCAAAAGTAGCAGTAGTTCTTGTTGGCGACACTTAGTTGTTGACAGTCGGGAAAATCTAGTCGTACGCCGCATTGGTCCTCGGGAGTTACTAGCAGTGGCGGTGGTAGTAGCGGCAGCCGGGGTGGTGGTAGTAGTAGTAGTAATAGTAGTAGTATTAGTAGTAGTAATAGTAGTAGTAGTTGTTGTTGTTGTTGTTGTAGCAGTAGTAGTAGTAGTAGTTATTAGCAGTGGTGATAGTAATAGTAGTATCAGTGGTAGCAGTAGTGGTGGTGGTAGTAGTAGTAGTGGTAGTAATAGTAGCGGTGACAGCGGCATTCTTGGAAGTCACAGTGCATGACAAACTTTCACTGGTTTTAGAGAAAAAGGACATCGGGGCCGCTCAAGCTCATGGTCTCAATTGGACAATAAAGCGCTCCAAAATTATCATGATGTGCTAGCAGCCGTGGTTTCTAAGCTTGCCAGCTAACGGGATAACCCAGTCGCACTCGATACTAAGGGCCAGGTTGCAATGACTCCTTATGACCTGCATACCGCATCGGCCTATTTGAGATCCTATGCCCCCTTCATCCAAAGCCTAATTCGCGTAGGAGCGGGAGCGAAGACCTGTGTGGGACACTTGGGCGGGACTCCAGCCACTGTCCACACATTTGTCTCCTGTCTTACCCGCCCTTGCATTTGGAATAAGGTCACACGCGAGTCCACACCCTCCAAGATTGTGGTGAACTTTGTCACATGCAATGGCTGGACTATCGGCATGGGTGTACGCCCGCTCAGCTGAGTTTTGCGCAAATGACCGTTCCACGGTATCTGTACGCACAACAGCTCCATTTCAGCAACCGGTTCGACTGGCACATTAAACTAGATGAGGTCAGCGAGCAAGTCGCCCCACCGGGTGGGCTTGCGTGTAATCTGGCCGTGTTCGCGCCGCGCGTACACGGGGCCTTGCGCTAGGCCGGTCGCTTCGCCGGGCCTCACTGCCATTCGTCGTAGCGTAGTATTGCCGCTGGGTCACGAAACAAAGTAAGCACTTGGCGAATCTTTCCTTACATCAGGAATGTGTCTGAACTTGTCGAAAGACAGTTGGGAAAACACCAGATAAAAGTGGCGCACAAGCCGACGACTACTTTGCGCACACAGCTTGTACACGGATATGGTTGGCTATCTCGATAAGAAGGAAGTCCTCTATAAGATTCCATGCGATGCCCGTGATGCCGTATATTGTGGCCAAGTGGGAAAAGCTACCTCTACACGCATCCACGAACACCAACTGGCAGTTAAGAGGTGAGACCACCTGTCTCGACCATGTACACTCTTGATTATGGACACACTTTCTCATGGGACAAAACTCTCATCGTCGGAAGTTGCCCATCTGGAAAAGACCGAGAATTTCTTGAAGCCAGGCATATCGAGTTAGATGCCACGTACAAAAATCTCAGGGAAAAGTGGGAGACACGAAAACCGGTTAATATAGACGGACGCACACGACGGCCGCTCACTGGCTGAGTCACCAACCGAATACTGATTTCTCAGCACTATAGAAGTGTTAATTGTTTTTTGCACATTTACTCGAGTCTGACGACGACACGGGGAACCGACGTCGAAAAGTTACTCAATAAAGTTTTCTATTTTTCCCAAAGAACGTATTTGCCTTCAATATATATATGTGAGAAGAGGCGGTCACGGGAACCCTAGGTTTAATGGCCTGACGTTTCGAAAGTAGACAAGCTTCTATCGGCGGAGGTAGGTTCTGCACAGCGCCTTACAGTATTTATGGGTGCTGAACATG